GCTTCGGTCATTGCAGATTCCATGGGTCGTGGCAGCTGACTGGAACTTTACCAGAAGCCATCGCGCGTTCAGGCTGGCTCCAGCGAGTCGGCGGTCGTACTAATTTGCTCTGGCGCTCAATGCGCGCGCGCGCCTGCTGGAGGCAAAACGCCCAGTCCCTCGGGTCATTTGATTGCGAGCCACTCTGCGCGCGCGCGTGTCGTGTCTTGCCTGTCGTTGCTGTGCCGTGGAAGCCTCGCATCGGAATCAGTGTGGAGTCAGTGTCTGAGGGTGCCCAGTTGTGCGCTGGGTGCCCTGACCTCCCTGTTAGGCCCCCGTCAGTTTGCGCGCCCTCGCGACTGGCGACGGCTGGGTCCAAGTCCAGCGTTCCCAACTATGGGGTGCGACTTCAGGGTTGGATGCCAGGCGGGCTCGGGATGCCCCGACTTTTTATGTGTTTCCCAGGGGCTCGGTTAAGATGAAAACAGGCTGCTGATGTCTGCGGGCCAGGTTCTTCTCTGCATCCCTCCTCTTCCTCGCGCCCGCCCCTCGGCCCTCAGCGACGCGGGCGCCCGCTGCGAGCGCGGGGGCGGGCCCGTCGGCTCCAGCGGCGAGTTGGGCGGATACTCGGAGGGCGACCCGTGGGCGGAAGAGGCCGTTTTCAGACCCGCCGCCAAGCTTTCTTCGCGTCGGCAGCGAAGCCGACCATGCAGTCGAATTGTCAGGCAGAGATGATTCGGTTCCGCGTGGGTCGATGGTTTCCCTGACCCCGGCCGCCCGGGGGCCGTCCGCGGAGGAGCCGCCCCGGCCGTCTGATGCGCGAGAGTGGCAGCCCGAATTTCGAACTCCTGGCAGCGCGTGGATTGAACAGAGGTCGAGCGGCGGGTTTGCCCCTGCCCTCTCCTGGCCGCCTGCTCCCGCGATTGCCCGCGCCAAAGCTTGCCGCCTCGGCTCAAACCATTCGGCTGTGTTGGGCGCCCCGTGCGCCGGCTGGATCCGCGCAGCCGAAGCTACCGCGCGCGCACGTCATAAGCAGGTGTTCCCTGGGGTGTCGCGCGGAATGGCGCCTCGATTTCAGGCGGCCAGTGTTCGGCAGACTGCGCCGTCTCGGGTCGCGCCACTTCGAGATGGAGGATGCAGCTGGTGGACTCGGGCCATCGCTTTTATTCGCAGCATCACGAGGCGCATGCTGAGAACTGGGGGTGCCAAGCAATTGGATATTGCGCATTGCAAGTCGGCGTTTGTTCGGCGATACCCTTGAAATGGCACGTCGGACTGTTCGGCCGACCGACGGATTCCATTGGGAATATTGAGTGCCTGTGTTGGGGCATTTACGCGGCAGTGATCTTTCCCCCTTGGATGCCGGCGCCCCGGCGGCCGAGGAGTTGGCCGGTCGTAGTCAGAGGCGAGCCATCGGGCAAGCCCTGGGCGAATTTCGAGCGGGCGGAGACGGCGCCAGCGCGGAGCATGCTTCGCTGGAAGTTGAAGGGCCCCATGCCTGAGGTGCAGGGTGTCATCGCCAATGGTCAGGCCATGTTGCGCCCGCGAGACATTCTTCATCGTGGGAGTCGGGGGTGGGGGGAGGTTTGGGCGCCATCTTTCTTGCCCATGGATGTGGGGTATGTCGAGCTGGCTGATCCTGAGAGTTTGTTTTGATGTTCGCGAGAGGGTTCAACGCGAGTCCCCTCCGCCCATTTCGGTGGAGGATTCGCGAGATGCCTTGGAGAAGATCAAGGCGGCGGCCATGGGAGTGGATCGCTTGAGTTCGCATGGTCCCCTGCGTCGTCCTGAGGGGGCCCTTCAGGAGGTGGCGACCTTGCTCGGTGCACGCGAGGCCACTCAGTCGCGGCCGCGCCAGGTTCTCCTCGCGATCGGCGCAGTTCGTCCGAAGAAGATCAGAGGATCTCGAAATGTGTTGCTTGTGCCGCGCCTGTCTAGAGTCTAGGGCGCGGTCGCAAGCGCGGGGGCCATGCGTGAAGCAGTGGACTTCCGAGTGCGAGGCTCACTGGGATGCCATCGAGAACAATGCAACAACCAGAGAGGTGTTTCTTCGGGCGATAAATGAGGATATGGTGGCGAGGCTTCAGATTAATCAGGGCAACGGCCTACTGAACATAGGCCAGCTCCACGGCTCCATCGTGTGACTGATGGTCGGCAGAGCTGCGATGCGGCTCGATATCCCGGCAGAAGTCCTAGGCCTGGAGCTGATGCAGTGCATGGCAGCGCGGTGCTTGCGGCAGGCTGGCGCGTGCTCGCAGCCGCGCTTGCCGCTGCGGTCAGTGGTGCAAGGCCTCCGCGGAGGCGCCAGGTTGGCCGAGTGCAGCGCTTGCCGCGTCATGCAGGAACTGACGACGGGACGCGTGGACATGTCGCAGATAATATTGATCGACGACCCCAGCCAGTCAATCAAGAGCACCAGAGAGACGATGCGCAATCAACTTGTGGGGTGCCTTGTCGACGCGCGGCGTTCGATGCAGCAGGCTGGGCTTTCTTTTGCACCCCGAAGCGCTGCTGTGTGCGCGAAGTTGGATGGCGCCAAGTGTATTGCACAGCGAGTGCGAGCTCGGGTTTTCGGTGCGTGCGATGCCACAGGCGCCTTATTTGGGAGCAGACCTTTGGGGGCATCGCGGCGTGCGCGAGCATGCAGGCCCGCGCGGCAGGCCAAGCACAACATGCGCAAGCGCGTGATCAAATTTGTTCAAGGGACTCGGCGATGCGGCCTCGCATCGAGATTGGAGCAGCAGGGGGCGCAATCGGCAGGGGCCGACTGGGCCGAAAAGCTGCGCGGTGTTTTCGGAGATGCTATGGCGTTGTTTCGCACAACATCGGGAAATGTACTCGGACCTCGGATGGCAGGGCGCTGCTTGGCCGCCATCATCGAATCGAAGCTGCAGGTGGAGACCCAGCCTGCAAGTTGCCGAGGGAATGTTTGCGCTTATGTTTGTCTTGTTGGGTCCGTCAGGCGAGCATTCGGGATGGCATCGCATCGACGTGGCCAGGTCCTGCCCGGGAATTCTCCAGCAATTCCACAAGCCCAGCGTGCTCGACGCAACTGAGGGCCGCGAGGAGCAGCGAACAGTGACTTAATGCAGGCAGGGTGGCGACCAGATTCGCCAACGAGCAGGGTAACGCCCAGTAGTGTTGACGGGGTTGAGCACGCCTATCAGTTTTCTACAGGCAATCTCACGGGCGTCGAGAGCATCGACCTGCCCGGCGCTTTCTTCGACGAGTACGAGCAGACCGTGCCGGCCAGTCCGCGACAGCGTTCGGCCCCGCGCAACGAAGGGTCAGGACTGGAAGAGGGAGCGTGCAATCAGTCGCACCGCAGGCTGCTCCAACAGATGGAGGGGGTCCAGGAGGGCGCAGGCTCGCAGGTCTGACGCGGTCGGTTGCCACGGGCACGACGGCGGGGGCGTTCCAAACATGAGCTGTCGCAGGATTGCTTGCGTTGTCGGGGGCTTCGAGAGGGCGCCTTTCGCCGAGCGTGGGCGTGCGATGGGCGAGCTCGGCATGATGCGTGCAATTCGGTGTGGCGCTTGTTGGGGGGGCCCGCGCACAGGCGGAGGTGGGCGTCTGCTTCTGGGCGAGAGGGCTCATTCCAGCATCGCGGGTCGCAGTGGAGGCGCCGCAGAGCACCGAGTCCCAGGGCGCGACGGGGGGCATTTTCGCCGACGGATGCTTTGGAATAGGAGGTACGCAGGAGCACCCCATGTACATATTCGGGGGCGCCAGCGGCGGCCTAGATAGCAGGGGCCCCGCTCTGAGGCGGGCGCGGCGCGGCCTAGTCTGCTTCCGCGAACTCGACGACGACATGGGGCTGTTCCTTGGTGTCTGGGGAGGCCTGCCTGGGCCGCGCCAGACGTTTGCCGGGGGAGAGCTGCTGGCATTTCTTCTTGCGTTGCGCGGCAGCAGAGGGTGCGTGATATATGCCACGGACATTGTCATTATCGGCTGGTACAACCCGCGTTATAAGCAGCCAGCGGGGCCAGAGAGCGACCTGTGGTGGCGCGTCGGCGCGCGCCTGAACGATCGCCCAGAGCAGTGCGCGATGCTATCCGTCCACTCGCACCCCGAGGCCGTGGACGTTCTACAGGCCAAAGCGCCCGAGCTGTTGGTGTCGGGCATTGCCGTGGCTGACGATTTTGCCGCGCGTGGAGCTGACGAGCCAAGAGTGCCAGAAAACACTCGTACGAGGGCTCTCGCGCCACAGGACACAAAACCATTCTTGTTCGGACGAGGATTCTCCAGAGCTCGACTGAGGCCTTGGCCACTGAGCAGGAGCATGAGAAAAGTCTAGGTAGGAAGGTCGCCCGCCGTGCCCAGACTAAACCCCGCGCCCCCTCTGTGTGTTGTTCTCGTCTCAGCACGTGATCTGTGACTCCAATGACAGTAAGTGCAGTAGGTGCAAGGGCACAGTCAGCAAAGTTAAGCGTAAGGGCTGGCTTACCTCCTCGTGCTTTGAGCTAGTGTATGTGGGCAGGGTCCTGTTTGAAACTCCCCGTGGGCGGCGGGTACATCTCGCAGAGGGTTTTCCCGACCCAAGCCATATTTTGAGACATCGCGCGGGGCTCGGGGTCTGGTTCTGTCTAGCGTATGCAGCGCAGCAGCTCAAGGAACTAGCAAAACCGTGTGTTGGTAGGGTAGAAGGTAATCGCACTAATTGCTTCGCTCGGAATTCCAGGGGTCTCTGGTCTAAAACCTTCAGCAAAGCTAAGCTACGCAAGAAGCAGACATCGAGCGTTTAAGTTTTCCTTCCGCGACCTGGTCGCCACAGCAAGAACCCCAGAACTCCTCCTACCCCTCCTCCCCTTCCCCCCCTCCTCCTGCTGCTCCTCCTCCTCTTCCTCCTCTTCCTCCTCTCCCTCCTCCTCCCCCGCTCCCTCCCTCCTCCCTCCTCCCTCTTCCCTTCTCCATCCTCCCTCCTTCCTCCTCCCTCCTTTTTCCTCCTTAGTCGTCCCCCCTGCCTGCTCTATCGTCGCTCTTCATCCCTCTCTTCCCTCGTCCTTCCTCCTGTCGCCGAG